TTACAAATTCTTCCTCCATTAACTGTCTTTGAAATGTTGGAGATCCTCAGAACTTTGTCTTAGGCCAGCTTTTTCTCTTTACAAACAAAAATCTGCTCATCCTGCTCCAGTTTTCACCACCTCACTAATAGCATCTCTTAATACCTAGGCAGAACCCTGTAACTCATTCATGACACTTTTCTCTACCCTACCTGCCAAATCTAAGTATTTGAACTGAACTTTTGCTAAATAACTGGTAAAATACTGATTATCTGGTTATTTTGATGGGGGAAAAGCGTGCTGTATATGGAATCTCAAATTTCTAAACCTAAAAGGCAAGAGTTACCTACAGGCAGTATGCTGAAATGCAAACAGAATGAGGTTTGGAATGAGACAAAATTGGGTTCAGATACTGGCTTTCCTAACTATGTGATTGCAATCAAATTACTTAACCTTTCTGAGCTTCTGTGGTATTGTTACATATAAAACAGAGATAATAGCTACCTTAAATGCTTTTCGAGTGAAGATGAGAATATGATTGTAAAGGCTCTAGCAATGCCCAGCATACATTAAGTTTCAATAAATGGTAGCTATAGCTGATTGGGGAGCCCTGGTGGCACAGTGGTTAAGAGCTCAGCTGCTAACCAAAAGGTTAGGGGCTTCTCTTTCCCAACCTCTTCTTCTGAACTTAAATGATCCTTTATTTCATATTCATTTAATTTCTTATGGCACCTAACATTTCTGCCTCATAATAAACCCGTTAAAACCCGTTGGCATGTAGTCGATTCCGACTCATAACGACCCTATAGCTTAAGAATATTTCTTAGCTCTGAGACTGTAAGCCCGCTGAAGACAGAATTCTTTTCTGTTCTTTGCTGTCTTCAGTGTCCTTTTTGTAATATAAACTCAATAAATACTTGTTGAATAAGCTGTGGAGTAAACAACTTTCAAAAGCACATGTATTTTTTTCTCAGCTGTGGAATATAAGGTTTATAAATATTCTCTTCATTAGCATGCTTTTGCTTTTCTGTCTTTCACAGCTGTTCTTCCTAAAAGAGTTACTTGCCAAGATTTATTGCCACTCCTTTTTCTGGCCTTATCTTAAATGATCTGTTAGAATCATTTGACCTTTTTCTTTGAAATTTTCATATGGATTTCTGAGATTCTCTCTTTTAGTTTTCTTATTTTATCCTTTGTGGTCTGTTTTTCCTTGCCTACCCTTTTCTGACTTCGGTCCTCTTCTCTTGGTCATACTGAGAACTTTCCTTGAGTAATCTCATTTTCCTTCCTTGGATTTGACAAGCTTTCATTTCAGGAGTCATAAATCAAATATTTATGGGGCTAAGTAGGTAATGTAAATGAGTGAAGAGGTGAATGACACAATAAGGAATAATAGGGACTCTTGTGGATTATAGAATCTATGCCCTGTCTAAAGCCCCAGCAGATTGCTGCTATTTCAGAATACTGAACCCAGTGTTAGTTTTTCAACAGAATTAGAAGTTTAGACTTTTTTAATGTGAAATTTCCAAATTTCTGAATATGAACCACTAGTTAAAAATTTTCAACCATAGTATAAGCAAAAAAAAAAAAGCCTTTATGAGTTAGCAAGTTTACTTACTCTAATTTACTATGCTTCTGACTCCTAGATTTGTATCTGTACATATGACTTTTCTACTGAGCTTCAGGCTCATCCTATTATTCTCTAGATTTTATGGAAGCTCTGTGACCCACAAGCATCTCAGAGTCCGTGGTGATCAACCTGAATCGCAAACTTGGGTTACGAAGTGATTTTGGTTATAGAATCAGTCAGCTGTGAGTTTGAATCCTGGTTCTACCACCTGCTAGGTCACTAAGGAAGTTATTTAATTTCTTTAAACTTCCATTTGCTCATATGTAAAATGGGAGTAATAGCAACCTCATTAGGCTATTATGGGAACATAGTGACCTGCACATAGTAATCAAATGTTGGGTGTTCTTAGTTGATATTCCTGTTTCAGTTAATGTTATCATCACTCCTACTTATTGGTCCTTAAGGTTCATTCTTGACACCTCCACCTTTTTTATTCTTCAAATTTAATTAGCCAACCAAGGTCCTATCAATTTTGTCTTTGTAATGTCTCTTTACTACTCTTATCTTAGTTCACTGCAATAGCCTCTTAACAGCTTTCCCACCCTCTGTTTAAATCCTTTTCCCAATATGTTCTCAGCCTGCTTAAACAACAATTTGATCAACAAGCTTCTGCTTAAAATTCTTCAGTGACTCCTCATTGTCTTTAAAATTTTAACATGTATTGCTCTTCTTAATGTAGTCCCTGTTTAATTTTTAGCGTTATTTCTTGCCCCATACTTAACTTGCATTCTAAGTTCAAGCTATTCTGAAGGTCGGGATGGATTATCCAATAGGCAAGGTAAACATGGTGCTTAACTTTGCTTACCGGCACCTCTGTAGTGAACAATTTCACATTTCACATTTTTTCACCACATCAAAGATTCTGCTTCTGGATATGGCTGGCATCTGTCTCTCTCTCAACCCCACAGCAGCTCCCTACAGAATCAAAGCTTCTTTCCAAATTTACAATCCCTGATGGGGCAGATGAGATTCTGTAAGCAAGGTAAGCACGGGCTTACTTGTGCTTACTTACTAATCTGTAGTGAACAGTTTCTCTATATATGATTTGGTAAGCAAGGTAGCCTATTGGATAATCCACTCCTGCTGAAGGTACTTATAAATTCTTAGTGTTTACCAGGGCTTGGAACAGAGGTTGTTCTGGTTCAAGCCCCTACTGAGAATTTGCATTTCTCACAAGTTCCCAGGAAGTTATAGCTAAGAATCACCTGGATATATTATTAAAATGTAGATTCTGATTCAGTATGTCTGGGGGTGGAACTGCAAATTCTCAGCAGAGGTTCAAACAGTAATGAACAGGTTGGAAGCCCTGGTATTTACACCGCTCTCTGATGCATGTCAAACAACCCTCACCTCTGTTTTGCAGCACCTTTAGAAATTACCTTTAAAGGCACCACCTCTTCCAGTAAGTTTTTTGACTCTCACCCCAGGTCTAGATTAGATACCCCTTTTTCTGTACTCATAGCCCCCTGAGGATGTCTCTGTCATAACTCTAGTCACAGCCTTTTGTTCTTGTCTCTTTTTTACAGTAAGCTTCTTGAAGGCCCAGGACACATATCTTAAATTTGTATCTCCAGGGCTTAGGATACTGTCTTGCAAATAGCAAGCTCTCAGATGTTTGTAGAACGAATGCATTTGTTGAGTGAATAAAGTTTTTTTTTTTTTTTTCCTGGAGAAATTGTAGATATAAAAAGGATGTAGGAGACACAGAGTTGTAAGGACTTTTAAAATGTCCCAATTCCCATATCCCCCTCATTTGAAGAAGATTGTAAGTGCTTTTATTTATTATGAATCAGTAATATTTATATTGCTTAGAATCAAGTAAATTGTACTATTGATATAAATTACTAATTACTGTTGCCCTCTAGGGCTATTGTTTTTCAAAAACTTTTTGACTACAGCCCACTTAGGCCCATTTTTTCCTACTTTCCTCCTGTTACAGTGGCAGGTTCTCAAGATCTTATTCCCTTCGACCCTCCCGAGGGCCATGGTTTTATAGTAAGGTTTCTCAGCCTCCACACTATTAACATTATGGACCAAGTAATTTTTGTTGTGGGGACTGTCTTGTGCATTGTAGTATGTTTAGCAGCATCCCTGGCCTCTACCTACTAGATGCTAGTAGCATTCTTTGCTTGTGAGAAACAAAAATGGTCTCCAGATATTGCCAAATGTCCCCGAGGAAGAAAAATCACCCGCTGGTTGAGAACCACTGGTTTATAGACATTCCCATCTCTCTCCTTATCCTCAAATGCCTCCTTCTCTATGGGCTCTTTTTTTCAGCAGAAGCATGATCTCGCATCTTTAAAAAACAACACAGTATCCCCCTCCACCCCAGTAATTCCTTGTTTACCCTTAATTTTTGCTCATTTTCTCTTTTCCTTTTTCCATCCACATTTCTAGAATGAATTGCTTTTACTTCCTCATTTCCCTCTTTATTTCTTACTTCTGCCTCCATGGTGCCACTAAAAATGCTTTCATCAACTCTCCCATCCTGTTTAATTCCTGTGTTCCTAGTAGCCCAAGTCTCATTATCTTTTAATCCTCCTGCCTACTTCCACTCCTGCCCGTACTGCTACACCTCATTCAATCCTAAAGTCCTGTTTATCCTACCTCCTTAATATCTCTGGAATCTACGTACATTTTTTATTTTTACAGTCGAGTTCTACCAACGTCATCAGCCTCTTTATTGGTCTCTGTATCTCAAGTGTAGTCTTCTTCCACTTTATTTTCTACATTGTGTCCTGGGTGACCTTTCTAAAACAAGGTCTCTTCCACTTCAGACCTTCTGAATCATGAATTCTGGGGCCTTAGAATCTGCATTTTGAAAGGTTTACCAGGTGAATTTTATGCCACTCTTAATTGTTTCAGTCTCCTGTTTAAGAAACCTTTCATTGCCCTTAAAAAAACAAACAAACAAACAAAAAAAACCATTGCCATCAAGTCAATTCCGACTCATAGTGACCTTATAGGACAAAGTAGAACTGCCCCATAGGGTTTCCAAGGAGCACCTGGTGGATTGGAACTGCTGACCTTTTGTTTAGCAGCCAAACTCTTTACCAGTACGCCACCAGGGTTTCCTTATTGCCCTTAGGAACTCCTAAAGCTCTTAAAATCTTTACAAAGCTCTTCCTGAAGAGGTCCCTGTCTATTAGCAAAGGCATTTTTGCTGTATTCAAATGATTTAGGTTCTTTTAGATTAAGTGTTTTATGGAAAGGCAGTGTTTGTTCATTTAGTTACTGGCGTATTTTTTACCACCAACAATGAAATTCGTAATTGGGGAGGAGATAAGGAGGAAATGTGGGTATTCTAATTCATAGATTAAAATACTGTGTGTCCGTGACATACTTGACTACTAAGTTATCAAATATTTGAATAAAATTTCTTTTCTTGCAGGTATTTATAACAGCAATGATGTAGCAGTATCGTTTCCAAATGTAGTATCTGGCTCAGGATCTAGTACTCCTATCTCCAGTTCTCATTTACCTCAGCAATCTTCTGGCCATTTGCAACAAGTGGGAGCTCTTTCTCCCTTAGCCACATCTTCTGCAACCACTGCTGTTGCTACAACTCAGGTAAATTATTATAATGAAGTAACGTGAATAGATGGGTTTTGTCATCTTTATTTTATTTTTTAATAATTTATTTTATTTTTGTTGAGAATATACACAGCAAAAACATAGACCAATTCAAGTTTCTTCATGTACAATTCAGTGATACTATGTCATCTTTATTTTTAAAGTAAGATTGTTGGCGGAGAAATAAGTGACATAGGGTTTTCTATAGGAATGTATAAAATATCTCAACTTGTATTGACTCATTAGTAGAAATAATAGACATTTTTACATGATATTAATGAAAGATGTAGCCACCAAATGAGTGTGTGGGCATAACTGATTCTAGGTTTCTAATTTTGTTCTAATGATGTAAATACTAATTGGGAGGGTGGGAGGCTTTTACTCTTTAATTTAAAAAATAGGACTTACAGAGTTGTGAACCAATTTTGGATTTTTGTGGTATAAAAATTTCATTTTATAATTTTTTAAATTACACAAATAATATATGAACATCGGCTATCTAGATTAAAAAAATAATACAGGAGAATATAGGATAAAAAGTGAATGATGCCTTTAAACATCACATGGTTTTCCTCCTAGTGGGAAAGAACAAATGTCTGTAAATATTGTAACTATTTGGTGAATACGTAGATTTTGCAGTTGTTTACCCTTTTCCCTCACTGCAAATTTATGACTTAATAGTTGACCTAGTTACAGAAATGCTTTAAAAACAAGAGTCAAATCAGAAAAATTATAATCTTCAGTTTTATAAACAGGACAGTAAATGGGCAAAGCTGTGCGTGCATGCACATGCATGCACGCGCGCACACACACGCTATTCTATCCCCGATTTCCCCAAAGATAATAATTTCAGATTCCTAAAGTATGCATTTTTAATTTTTTTGGATTTTTTTCTATGTTCATTTTTACTTTTTCCAAAACTCTAGTAGTAAGGCTCTTAAAGTTTCAGGAAAATTATAACAGTGACAAATATCTAATTACAAATAGCTTATTAAGTAGTTATTTGTAAGTTGCTGTAAACTTGAGCTTTATGTATGTGTTCCTAATTTCCATTGTATGGACTTTATGTGTGTATATATATATATATATGTATATATGTGTGTATATATATATGTGTGTGTATATATATATGTATATATATATATATATATATGGAGGCCTTGGTGGTACAGTGGTTGAGAGCTCAGCTGTTAAACAGAGGGTCAGCAGTTCGAATTCACCAGCTGCTCCTTGGAAACCCTATGGGGCAGTTCTGCTCTGTCCTATAGGGTC